TAATAAATGCTGATCAGTTTTACATAAATTTAACTTAATATGTAATCAAAATGTCCAATTGTGTTTATTGGTGTTTTGTTTAAAATTGCAAAAATAAAATTTTACAATAAAAAGTTTTATAAAATCGGCAAGGCCCCGCTATGTATGTTCCTCTGTGGCGCAATCGGTTAGCGCGTACGGCTGTTAACCGAAAGGTTGGTGGTTCAAGCCCACCCAGGGACGATGTATCCCTTTTATATAAATTTTTTATGTATATCAAAATGTTCAATTGTGTTGATTGGTATTTTGTGTAAAACTACAAAAATAAAGTATTAAAATAAAAAAGTTTTCTTAAATCCGCTAGGCACCCTATGTCTGTCTCTGAAACGCAATCGGTTAGGGCGTTCGGCTGTTAACGGAAAGGTTGGTGGTTGAAGCCCACCCAGGTACGATGCATCGATTTTATATAAATTTAATATGTTGTCAAAATATTCAATTGTTTTCATTGGTATTTTCATGTATGTTTTTCTGTGTCGCAATCGGTTAGCGCGTTCAGCTGTTAACCGAAAGGTTGGTGGTTCAAGCCCACCCAGGGACGATGTATCTCTTTTATATAAATTTAATATGTGTAACAAAATGTAGTCAAAATATTCAATTGTTTTTTTTGGTATTTTGTGTAAATTACAAAAATAAAATGTTAAAATAAAAGGTTTTATGACTTTGTCTGTGTGTGTCTCTGTGGCGCAATCGGTTAGCGCGTTCGGCTGTTAACCGAAAGGTTGGTGGTTCAAGCCCACCCAGGGACGATGTATCCGTTTTATATAAATTTAATATGTTGTCAAAATATTCAATTGTTTTCATTGGTATTTTGTGTAAAATTACAAAAATAAAATGTTAAAATACAAAGTTTTATTGAATTTTGCTGTGTGTGCCTCTGTGGCGCGCGCAATCGGTTAGCGCGTTCGGCTGTTAACCGAAAGGTTGGTGGTTCAAGCCCACCCAGGGACGATGAATTATTTTTATATAAATTTAATATGTTGTCAAAATATTCAATTGTTTTCATTGGTATTTTGTGTAAAATTACAAAAATAAAATGTTAAAATACAAAGTTTTATTAAATTTGTGTGTTTCTCCGTGGCGCAATCGGTTAGCGCGCTCGGCTGTTAACCGAAAGGTTGGTGGTTGAAGCCCACCCAGTTACGATGTGTTAGTTTTATTTAAATTAAATTAATAATTTGTAATAAATGATGTATCAATTTTACATAAATTTAATTTAATATGTAATCAAAATGTTCAATTGTGTTGATTGGTATTTTGTTTAAAATTGCAAAAATAAAATTTTACAATAAAAAGTTTTATAAAATCGGCTAGGCCCCGCTATGTATGTTCGTCTGTGGCGCAATTGGTTATCGCGTTCGGCTGTTAACCGAAAGGTTGGTGGTTCAAGCCCACCCAGGGACGATGTATCCCTTTTATATAAATTTAATATGTATATCAAAATGTTCAATTGTGTTGATTGGTATTTTGTGTAAGACTACAAAAATAAAGTATTAAAATAAAAAAGTTTTATTAAATCCGCTAGGCACCCTATGTTTGTCTCTGTGACGCAATCGGTTAGGGCGTTCTGCTGTTAA